ATCTCTGTGAGTTTGAGGCCAGCCTGGTCTCCAGAGCAAGTGCCAGGATAGGCACCAAAGCTACACAGAGAAACCCTGTCTCGAAAAATCCAAAAACAAACAAACAAACAAACAAACAAAAAACAAAGATGACTAGGGCTTATAGAACAAGTAAGCATGAAGACCCAAGTTCAATTCCTCCAGAAGGAATGTAAAAAAGCCAGGCAGGAAGCCTGGGTATGGTGGTTCACACCTTTAATTCCAACTCCCAGGAAACAAAGGCAGGTGAATCTCTGGAATCTCTGTGAGTTTGAGGCCTGGTCTACCAGTCTGGTGCCAGGTTCAGTGAGAGGCCATAATCAAGGAATACACGTGGGATTGACTTTCAGTCTACACACACAGACAGACACATAGACATGTACAGAAAGATACACACACAGAGAGACATGAGTACACACACACACACACACACACACACACACACACACACACACTCTGCCTCCTGAGTGCTGGGATTAAAGGCGTGAGCCACCGAATGCTGGCACCCATCTGTCTTTTTTTTAAATCTAGAAGAATGAAGATAAAAGATGGTCTCTAGTTAGCCCATTCCATTGCCTATAATTAACCAAGGTGACATAACTGTAAGAAATACAACAAGCCGGGCATTGGTGGCACACCTTTAATCCCAGCACTCGGGAGACAGAGGCTGGTGGATCTCTGTGAGTTCCAGGCCAGCCCGGGCTACAAGAGCTAGTTCCAGGACAGCCTCCAAAGTCACAGAGAAACCCTGTCTCGAAAAACAAAACAAGACAAAAAAACAAAAACAAAACAAAAAATCAGAAATACAACAAGAGATGAATTCACACTAGAGTATTATCATCTATCAAGTAGTCAATTACATTATGTAAAAGATGCACAAAATGTGCCCGTCTTCTGCTTTGACAGTGCTCGAAGACTGGAAGGCAGATATCTGAAGGTGAGAAGAGAAATGAACCAGCAGTCTGAAAAATGAGAGCCCTAAGGTGAAGCTGAGGAGAAGGAAATGAAGCCAAAGAGGCAAGGTAATGCCAGGAATGCCACTCAGCAGTTTGGGCTGGATCCAGAAGGCAAGAGCAGCCATTGAGAGATTTTTTTTATTATTATTATTTTAATTAAAGCAGTGGTTTGCCACTGACACATGGCTTAGGAGTCATGTTGATCTCATCCTGGCCCAGAGTCTCTGCATTAGCCATAAAGACTGCATCACACAAATATTTCCCCATCCCCTCCCCTGCCCTCAGAGAATCATGTTGTAGCTACTACAGTGTCTATTTTGAAGATGATTGGAAACGACTTCCTTTTGGTCTGTTCATGTAGCTCTGTTGTCCAAAGTAGTTGCCTCGGAGTGATGCCTTGCTCCCTTTCCCTGGGGGTTGAGACTGCTACCTCATCTCGAAAAGATGTGTTGCTCCATGGTATCGGCTTACAGCACAGCACGCACAGATAACTCTGCAAACATTTCATTGTAATACTTCCATGCTTAAATCACCAAACTGGCTTTGGAAAATATGCAATCTTTTCAAATTACATTTTCTTTGAGCTTCAGAATTCAGTCTAACAAGCTAGTTTGGACTTTAGGCATTTGAAAATGGGTACACAGAACGGCCTTGAGTTTCATGACTCTGTTTGGGAAACAAAACAAAAGGGAAAGGCAAGGCACAGTATTGAGATTGGGGAGATGGCTCACTGGGTGCTAAAGTGTTTGCTGTGCAAGCATGAGGACCTGAGTTTGGATCCTCAGTGCTCTTGAACGCTCACATCCCGGTAGTGCTTGGTGGGTGTTACCTCCTGCACTATGAAGGTGCAAACAGGCAGATCTCAGCAGCTAGCTGGCCGACCAGGCTAGTTGAAAAGGTGGGATCTGTGTTCAATGAGAGGCCTTGTCTCAACACATACAGTAGAGAGCAGCAAGGAAGACAACAGATTTCACATGCCCAGGTGAGTGCACACACGTATACAACACATGCACACACCACACACACACACACACACACACACACACACACACACACACACACACACACGTGTAGCAGTGCAGAAGCAAGGCGTCATGATAATTGGCTGTGCATTGTGCCCCTGGGCCTTGTCACCTGTAACAGATCTGAGAGGGTATAGAAAGGTCTTACAGCTTGAATGCATTTCTCAGGGCTTCTGTGATAAAGTATTCCAAATTGGTTGGCATAAAATAACTGGAATTTGCTGGGAGGTGGTGGCGCACACCTTTAATCCCAATACTTGGGAGACAGATGCAGGCAGATCTCTGTGAATTCTAGGCCAGCCTGGTCTACAAAGTGAGTTCCAGGACAGGCTCCAAAATTCCACAGAGAAACCCTGTCTCAAAACAAACAAACAAAGAAAAACAAAACAAAAAACCCCAACAACAACTACAACAACAAAAACTCACCAGAACAAAAAAACAAAACCCTGAAATTTATTTTCCCACAGTTCTGTGTCCCCCAGCCATCAGCACTTGAAATTCAACCCAGGGCCTTTTTGTTTTTCGAGACAGGGTTTCTCTATGTAACAGTCCTGACTGTCCTGGAATTTGTTTGGTAGACCAGGCTGGCCTCGAGCTCACTGAGATCCACCTGCCTCTGCCTCCCAAGTGCTGGGATTAATGACCTGTGCTACTATACCTGGCTAGTAGCCAGTGTTCTTAACCACTGAGCTATGTCTCCAGCCTCTGGACAGTGTGCTTTTATTTTTATTCTTATCACAGTAACAGAAATCAAAGTAGGACTTGTCCCCTTGAGGACTCTAGCTCCTGGTTATGGTCAACAACCCTTGGTCTTCCCTGCCATCCTCCTGCACCATAGCTATCTCTGTCTCTGTCATCCATGTCATTCCTCCATTGTGTTCCTAGCATTTTCATCTTTTTAAAAAGACACCACTAAAAACAAACAAGTAAACCACCACTTAACATTGCATCAGGACCCATCCTAACAACCTCACTTTAACTTGATTACACTTGCAAAGATCCCAAGGTCATAGTCAACCAGTTCTCCAATCGCTTTCTACAGCTGGGTTAGTTCAGCTCTAAGATTCTCAGCACCAAACAGAAAAAACTTCCAAAGGACCCACTCCCAATCCAATCACACCTACACCATTTTTCCTTAAATTGACCATCATACCCTCCAACTAAGTGTTAAAACTGAGATTTCAAAGTAGGGTCCAGGAGACAAGTAAGGTAGACAACCTCTGTATGGATAGAACTGTGTTCCCAAAAATGCTGTATCAGGGTCTTAACCCCTGGGTTCCTGTCATCACCACAGTCCAATATGCACATAACATAAGCGACTTTTGTCATTTTAGAAGCTTTTCTTTTAAAGTATTTATTCAGTATATGTGTGTGTGTTTGTGTGTGTACACGTGTTTGTATGTGTGTGTATATGTATGTGTGTACATGCATGTGTGTGTATGTAGTGTGTGTTTGCATGTGTAGTGTGTGTGTGTGTGTGTGTGTGTGTGTGTGTGTGTGTGCTGGGAAGGGAATGTTAAAGACAACGTGCATGAGTGCATTCTCTCCCTTCATGAGCGAGTCCTGGAGATACAATCCAGGCCTTCAGCTTTGGAACAGGTGCCTTTACTCGCTGAGCCATCTTGCTGATCCCTTTTTCAAAATTGAAAAAGTTAAAAAAGAACTTGAATTCTATGTTTTAACTCAGCGTATCCAAAATATTATTTCAAAGCCATAGTTATCCAAATATTAAGTAAGACATTTTGATTTTTTCTCCCTTTGCTGAGTCCAGTATGCACCCAGGATTGCACCACAAGCCACGTTTCATGGGAACAATATCCATGGGTATTAGGTTGCTGCAGAGTCTGCATAGAGCACCTGTGGTTAGGAGGGTCTAAGCCATGGGCTGCCCTTTCTGGGGACAATTAAAGGCCTTTGGGACTCCAGAGGCTGAGGCAGAAGGATTGGAAGTTTGAGGCCAGCTCAGACTACATAGAAAATAAAATAAAAATAGCTTTTGGGGAAGAGCTTAGGTCAGATCTCAAGAGGAAAAGGGTTTCCAAATAGAAAGTGAATACAACAACGAGGCAGTCCATTTAAACCGTTTCAAGGGAAGGGCAGAGTGCTTATTCCATGGTTAGATTCTGTTCTAGTTTGTTTTTCTGTTGCTTTGATAAACAATATGGGCAAAAGCAACACAAAGAGGAAAGGGTTAGTTTCATTTTACAGGTCCAGGTCACACAGTCCATTATTGAAGAAAGTCAGGGCAGGACCCAAAGTAGAAACCCCAGAGGAACTAATCCTGGCTTGTTCACAGGTCACACTCAGCTAGCTTTCTTTTGTATTTTTCCTACTGCTTTATATGTGTGATTGTGTGTGATTGTGTGTGTGTGTGTGTGTGTGTGTGTGTGTGAGAGAGAGAGAGAGAGAGAGAGAGAGAGAGAGAGAGAGACTATGTGGGTGTAGCACACACATCAGAGGTCAGAAGAGGGCATTGAATCCAATGGAGTCAAATGCAGTTGGGTGCCGGAACCGAACCCAGATTCTCTGCAAGAGCAGTAACCACTTTTCACCACTGAGTCCTTCAGCCCAGGCCCACCTGCCTAAGGATGGTGCTGCCCACAGCTGTCTAACCCCGCCCACAGTGGTCTGAGCCTGTCCACAGGAATCATCACCAAGACAATTCTTCACAGACTTTCCTACAGACAAATCTGATGACCGAAATTCTTTAATTACTGTTCTCCCTTTCTGGGTGGCTCTATGTTGCGTCAAGCTGACAAAAACTAATCAGGACAGATCTTTTGGAGATGAAATACAAGTGTACACCTGGTTAGAAGAACTGGCAGGGAATCTCTCACTCTCCATCTCTTTCCTGAGCATTTCTGACAGCTCCTTCCTGTCTGCCATGAGTCTCTTTCTACAGACCTATCTCTTATCTGTTTGAAACGCCTATGGTTTTACAATTGGATCCGTCAGCTGCCAACCCTATGATCTTTCAACTCGGCTCCCCACAGCTAGCTCAGTCTGCCAGTGTCCCCATCTCACATCCCAAGGGCAGAAGATCAGATTGGCTTCTTGGTCAGCCATTTCCAAATCAGATGCCACCACACTCACTCATTATAATCACGGGTCCCAGAATCTTTCCTTATGTGAGGTAATGCTTCTCACAGTGTGTTCTCTGCTCTAGTAGTACTGGAAATGCAAATCCATGGCTTCAAACTGAATTAGTATCTCTGGAGTAGAGCTCAAGATACCATCTTATAGCCATGATCCTGGTGGATTGTCGAGGAGGGGGATGTCAGTTTAGTATGCCAAGATAGTGAGCAAGAAACATGCACGGGGATGGGGGGGGTACCCAGATCTGGAGAGACAAAGGAAGGAGATGCAACTCCAGTTTCCATCTTGGAGCCTGGATCTGCTGTGGGCAGAGGCCACAGAACAGCTCAGAATGTGACTTAACCATAAACCCTGTTGGAACAGGACTAGCGGTGAATGCTTCTACGATCATAAAGGTAGAAGCAAAGAATTCTGCTGGGAGCGGGAGGCGCATGCTGACAACAGTAACTTCCCAGGGGCTGTTTTATCAGTGAGGAGTGAGTCTGGAAGCAGCTAGACTAGCCTGGCCTTCACTAATAGCCCAAGTTGGCCTTGAGCCTGAGGTATCCTCTACTTCAGCCTCATGACTGCTGAGATATTAGGTGAGCATTGTCTTGTCCAGTGACAACCTAATGTTAAGTTGCGTTCACAAAATTAAAAAAAGAAATGAAAAACGTTGATTTTTAGAAAATGGTATAAACTGAGTACCTGATGTTTGCTTTTTCCATGGCACATACCCTATATGAAATTAGAAATTCACACTATAAGAATAGCTTTGCAGAAGTGCCATTATTAACATAACCTTACTTCAGACACTTTTTTTTTTTAGTGGTGGAGACAATACTTCCGTGTAAAAATGTATTTATTAATGGCTGGAACAGAAGAAATACCAAGTCCAGATGGTAAGCATTTTCTTGCAAAGTCACATTAAATTTAACATTAGCCCAGGAAAGCTGAACTTATTTTTTTTTTTTTTTTTTTGGTTTTCGAGGCCTGGTTTCTCTGTGGCTTTGGAGGCTGTCCTGGAACTAGCGCTTGTAAACCAGGCTGGTCTTGAACTCACAGGCCTGCCTCTGCCTCTGGAGTACTGGGATTAAAGGTGTGCACCACCAATGCCCGGTGCTGAAGCATGTTTTTAAAAAAGGATTTTAAATATTCTTATAACTGTGTGTAGATTTTCACTCCTGGACTAGGATACCTTTATAAAGGATACCATGCTAAGTGATTAGTAAAATACATAATAAAATATATAATCTTTTGGTTAAAATGTTGTTTAGCATATGGTGTTATAGTATCTTCATATTTATTTTTGTTGTTTTTTTTTTTTTTTTTTTTTTCGAGACAGTGTTTCTCTGTGGCTTTGGAGGCTGTCCTGGAACTAGCTCTTGTAGACTAGGCTGGTCTCGAACTCACAGAGATCCACCTGCCTCTGCCTCCCAAGTGCTGGGATTAAAGGCTTGCGCCACCAACGCCCAGCTGTATCTTTATCTTTAAAAATGATTCATTCATCTGTGTCTGTGTGGGGTATGCCAGAGGACAACTTTCTGCCCTTCTTTCTGTTGGTTAGGGCCTAGTGTGCAAACTCAGGTCCTAAGACATGGGAACCAGTGCTATTCCTTGCTGATCTAGCTCTCTCATCCAAGTCACAGCATTGTTAGTGGAATTTTTGTCGAGTGGTAATTATGGGAAAATATCTTTTCATGTGTATATCTATGGTATGCATGCATGTATATATGTGTGTCAGTTCATGTGTATACAGGTGTGTATGTAATGTGCTATGGAAGCCAAAGGTGGCTCTTGGGTGTCTTTTTGAGGTAGGGTCTCTTGATGAACCCAGAGTTTGTGGATTTGGGTAGTCTAACTAGTTTGCCCAGGGGATTCCCTGTAGGGAGACACTGTAGCCCTGCCTCCTAGGAGCTAGGTACAGGTGTGCTTGACTACGCCTGTCAGGGCATGGTCAGGGGAGGTTCAGGATGACACTCGGGGAGTTCTTAAGGAGGCAGCAGACACGTGGGAGCTCTGTGGCCTCCCTAGCCTGCTGCCTCTGGGCACGCTCTGGCTTATGCTTGGCCAGTGTTTATCTGAATAAAGATATCTTAACCTCACGGACTACAGATTGTCTTCTCTCTCGTTATAATTCCCTGTCTCTGCCACCTGGGCATTGTGACTACAGGTGGCCAGCACACTTTCCTGGGCTCTGGGAATTCAAATTCTGTGTGCTATGTGTGTGCTATGTACTTTAGCCTCTGAGCCATCTCCTCAGCTCCAAAATTGATTTTATTGGCGTGAAATTGGTGGAGGTAGTATACTTGAGACAAATGCTTAAACCAATGATATCATGAAAGGTTCACAATACAATCCTGAAGAGAACAAATTGGAAGTCACAAGGGAAAAAACCAGCTTTGAAAAGTTTTCTGCAATTCCCATACGTGTCAAAGGTATGTGCTGGCACAATTTACATTGGAAACAGCTTTCAACTTCAGGGAGAAAGCAAAGCATGATTTCCTTAAGAATTGTAATTCTTGGGGGTCTAGGCCCTCCTCCAAATAATATGACAGACTTTGACAATCCCCCATGGAAGACCTTATCCTTTTTAGGGAGCAGAAAGGGGATGAGATGGGGGTTGTTGAGGGGCAAGGGAGGAAGGGAGGGAGAGGGAACTGGGATTGGTATGTAAATGAAGGTTGTTTCTAATTTAAATAAAAAAGGAAAAGGGGGGGGGGCGGAAAGATGGCTCAGCGGTTAAGAGTGCTGACTGTTTTTCCAGAGGTCCTGAGTTCAATTCTCGGCAACCACATGGTGGTTCACAACCTCCTTGAATGACATCTTGTGCCCTCTGCTGGCATGCAGGCAGAAGACTATATACATAATAAATAAAATCTTAAAAAAACAAAAAAACAAAACCCCAAAACACATTGCTTTAAAAAAAGGAAAAAGGAAAAAAAAGAATTGTAATTCTTCCTTTGTTTGCCCTCAAAACTGTGTCTAAAATGTTGCTTCGATGAAGCATGAGGTGTATGTGATGCTGAAATTTAACCTAATGGGGATCAAGTTTCTCTTCAAAGTGTAATTCAGATGGGGCAGGTGTTTTCAAGGCCTGGTGCCCTGTTGAGCAGAAATGCATCACTGGGCAAAGGTATTACCTGGGTGAGGTGGCTCACATCCACATACCCTGAAGTCTGGAGGCTGAGGCAGGGGGTTGCAGTGAGTTTGAGGTCTGCCTGGGCTGCTGTGAGTTCCTAGTAGCCTAAACTACAGAGGGAAGCCTGTCTCAAGGAAACTCAAAACCAGGGCTGGGTATAATTCAGTGGGAGAGTGCCTCCCACTGATATGACTGCCGATGTCCAGGGTTATAAGTATGTGCTGTGTTGACTTTATGCAAGCTGGGCATTGAACCCAGGACTCTGTGCATTTGAGGCAACCACTCTAGCAGCTGAGCCATGTCTCCAGCCTTCTTTCTCCCCTTATTCAAAGTTACCTTCCACTAGACTGACCTTTAATTATTATTATTTTTCTATCTCAGTACAGGCCTATTACTGTGTCCAGTACATAGCAGGAGTTCAAAAATCATTAGTTGGATGAATGAATCACATAGCAATATTTTGTTGTATAGTGATCAGCCATTTCTTCCTGTTCAATGCTATTTTCTTTTTATGAAAGTTTTTTTTTTTAACATTTAAATGCATATAACTGATATTAGTCTCAAGCCCTACTTTTCATCTTTGTCCTTACCGATTTCTACCTCTCAGCTGATAGTCTTCTGCATAGTTTTTTATGTAATGTGTAAATTCAAAATATCCCTTGGGGCTTGGGGGTGTGTACAAACTCTTTTTTTTTTACTTAAAGGTTTCTGGTTCAAACATCTCTGTGGTTTGGGCCTACACTAGTGGAGACTTCTTAGCCAAGAGATGCATGATAAATGACTTTTCTAATTAACACTAGTTCTTTTGACCTTATTTTTTGTTATATAAAATCTTTATTTTATTTATTAGTTAAAGTCAATATCAAGTATTTACTGTGTTAAAGAAAACACTAATAATAAAATGAGCGCCCGTGTACCCAGCTTCAAAAAGATTATGCGTGGTATCGGGGCATGGTGGTACATGGCATGCTGATAGATCTCTGAATTTGAAGCCAGCGTGGTCTACACAGTAAGTTCCAGGCCAGCAAATGTTACACTGTGAGGCCCATTCTGAAAAAAAGAAAAAAAAAAGCTGAAATAATAAAGTATTGTCAAGTGGGGGGTGGAGCACAGCTTTAATCTCAGCATTAGGAAGGCTGAGACAGGCAGATCTCTATGAGTTCAAGACCAGCCTGGTCTACAGAGTGAGTTCCAGGACAGCCAGGGTGGTTACACAGAGAAACCCTGTCTCAAAAAACTAAAATAAACAAGCAAATAGTTATTATAGGGGTTCCAGATGCTGCCCAGTGGTAGCATGCCTGGGTTTAATCCTTAACACTACACATACAGAGGTTGTAAACATATTGAATAGTTTTGTTTATCATTTATATTTTTAGCTTTTAAAAAAGATTTATTTATGTGTATTTGTGTTTTGCTTGCATGTATCTGTGAGTGTCACATGCACCGTGTTTGGTGATCATGGAGATTAGAACAGGGCATCATATCCCTGGAACTGGAGTTAACAGATGGTTGTGAGCTACCTTATGGCTTTGGAGGCTGTCCTGGAACTAGCTCTTGTAGAACTCACAGAGATCTGCCTGCCTATGTCTCTCCAGTGCTGGGACCAAAGGGGTGTGCCACCATTGCCCGGCTGCATTGAATGGTTTTAAAGCATTATATTTAAGGCCATCTAAACAAAATTATCTGAACATCATGCTTGTACCAATTTTCCTGAGCTGCCACATATTTGAAGGAATGTATTGCTTCAAATTCACAAGTCAGTCTGCACCCCCCACTCCCTGTCTCAGTCTCCTTCCAGGTTCCTCACCATTTTCTGAAATCTTAACTTCCATTTCCCAATACAAAGCTACAAATTATGCTAGTGGGTGGTTGGGAACAAAGTGTGTGCCATAAGAACCAGGCAAATGTGAATGCATCCATCAGCTTGCTCAGTTTATTGCAGCTTCTGAAACAGTGATGTAGCTATTGTTCTATTGCTACAATAACTATTGTGGGAATTGTTTCCTGGGCCTTCAGATCTTACATAGCACAAAGAAGTGTTTCTTCGGGTCCTGTTCATTGCTTTGTGAATAATAAGTACTCTATTTCTTGACTAAATTTCTAGAGCTGTCCCTTGTATTTTAAGTCTTACTGCCAGAACTTATGATTTTGGGATCATTTTAATCCGTAGGAGTATATTTAGAACTATGAAATGCTTTTGGATTTCAACTGGAGAATGAAACAACTGATAGATTGAAAGCAACCGTTTACAATGTTTAGGATTAAAATGTATTAGACTTCAATGAACAGTTTAAACTGTATTAATGTTATAACAGCCTTAAGCAAAACTAACATGGATACAAATCCATGCTCTTGTCTTTAGTTTTCATTGTTACTCTTGTGTGCACATGCACCTTGCATTCTCTGTTTAAACCCTGAATTATATATAAAAACTTCCATGTCACAGGATCACCACAATTGCCAATTAGATGGCTGCATAAAATGTGTGGCAAGGGCTGGAGAGATGGCTCAGTGGATAAGAGCAATGGCTGCTTTCCCAGAGGACCTCGGTCCAATTCCCAGCACCCAAGGACCCCGGTTTAATTCCCAGCACCCACATGACAGCTCACACGAGTCTGTAACTCCAGTTCCAGAGGATCTGACACCCTCATACAGACATACATGCAGGCAAAACACCAATGCGCATAAACTAAGTAAATCTTTTAAAAAACGTGTGGCGGTTGATGTAATATAAATCACTATTAGGCCGTCCTCTCATTCCAATCTTGCAAAACAAAAAAACAAAACCACCTGTATTATTTATTTGTCAAGAATAAG